TTTTCCATTCCAGCTGAACTTCAGATCCTGCACACTAATAAAGCCTCTTGCAGAGGAGAAATCTGAATGAAGATTTTTTTCTGGAAAAGCATGTCAAGGAGCCCTGATGAGTCTGATGAGGTGTTTCTATCCCCCTGTCCACCCCTCACCCAAATACAGATGTTTGCACGTACTTTCTCTAGGGAGAAAATGTTTAAGTGTGAAGGACTTTAAAAATGCAACAGGACAAACATTAACTAAGATTATGTGGTCAGTGGGTCTTCTCTGCCCACCCTCTAAGTTTCCGAGCAAAGGATCGGGCTCCAAAAAATTGCTATAAGCCAGAGCACTTCCTCTAATCAAACAACCATTATTGAGCTGGTGTTCGTGGTTGTTAGTAGTTCTGGCATTCAGAATTGTATTTTGGGTTTCCTTCTGGTGGTGAAAGGAATCCCATGTCAGCTTAGCTTTTTGTTCTAATTATATCAAGAGAAAAAAACATCCAGAGAACCAAAATGAAAAGCAGGACACATCAGCTTCTAAAGAATTTCCATATTTATTTGACATAATTTTACCATACACATCTCATGCCAACACACAGGAGGCATATACAAACAAACGTGTTCCAAACTGTGTTCCAAAGTCACATGGCAATAAATAAGGATGGGTGGGTCCCTTTTTTTTTCTTTTTTTTTCCCCGAGGAAATGAGACTTCATTTCTTTTTAACTGTACAAAATTTACACTGCAAAGGGTGAGAGCAACAATCCAGAGTGTAGGGGATCTGGGGCTTTCAGGTCTGAATGCAAGTTCAGAGCAGCTTCTGGGGCCCAGCAGCCCTGAACCCACGTGATTGGCTGAACACAGTCCTCAAGTGGGGAAGTACAAATGATTCTTGTCTCTAGGTGGGCAGCAGACGCGAGTGGGGGTGTCCTTCTCTGTCCACCTGTGCTCTGCCTCCCTAAGGAAAGGAATGCTTGGCACACCTCCCAAACCTGCAGCTGTCTCCTCACCAGAGCTAGCAGCATGAAACTGTGCTTTCCGTGGGGTCCTACCAAGCAGTGTGTGGATGGGATGGCTTTGCCATGCTCTCTCTTTTTGGCTCCAGTCCCCATGTTAGAGCAGTTGGAGCAACTACTGCAAAAAGGGCCAATTGACCAATCCAAGAAAGAGAGAGCCAGTGATGTGCTTTTTATTTAGCTTTCAGCATGCCCAGAGCCCGTCAGCAGCAGCCAATAAAACAAAACTCATTTCCGCTTAATTGAATTTTTCTTCATCTCACGGTTTCCAATTTTTAAAGTGCAATGTTTAAAAATGAGCCTCCTCAGTCCTTCCAGACCCTGCTGGCTGAGGAGGTATGGTCATCATTTCCACGGTTATAACCGGGTTGTCAGTAGTGGTGCGTGGGAGGGGTTCCATGGGAGCATGGACACCAGTCGGAGCACCGTCATGGAGCACTTCTGCTAAGCCGGAGCCCTGAAGTCCCTCCTGCAAGGAGGCAGTCATTTCAGAATAACCAACTGGAGCTTCAGAGGCATTCATGTCTTTTGTTCTACAGATCTCTCACACTTTTTGCAGTGTGAACGTAATTATGCAGACCTAATAGCCCCAGTGATCCTACTAGATTTCATGTTTTACATTGGCAAGAAAACAAAAACAAAAATGACCCAGTTTTAAAGACACTCCCAAATGCTTGTTTTAGGTCTCGTTCTCTTTCCCTGATGTTTCACCGTCCTAGTTTGCAGGAATAATGTTATCAGTATGGTAGTTGGTTTTCATTTTACGTTATTTTCGTAACTACCAGATGGGGCAGGAAAGAGAAAGCACGAAGATGGACAGCGGTTTGCCTCGAGTTGCACAGCAAGTCCCCGAAAGGAGCCAGGCTCCCCAGCAGTGCGATTCACCTAGAGGGCTGGCTGAGCCCCTGGATTTGGTAGTTCCTCTATGCTTTTCCTACTTCTCAACAAATGTAGATTCTTCTATAGCTGCTCAGATCCCATTTTTGCTCATACTAATTACCCCTGGAAACTTTGGGGGTTTTTGTCTTTCTTTTTGTCTTTAACTTGACTCCTGGATTCAGAAGCCTCCTACCCTAAGATCTATCAGCCAGGCACAGCAGAAAATGGTTGCTAGTTAATTGCCCTCTTAGAGCCAAAGACAAATCCAAATATTGTAAATGCCTCTAGAAGTTCTCATTTCGTTTTCCAAAATTCATCCATATTGTTTTAGTAAGGAGGGAACAGCTCCCATGTAGCACCTTATACCTCAGTAACAGACTAATACCATAATATTAGACTATCACTGTGATGAGGAATAGAGGAGTGCCTTGAAGAGAATCTCAAGGTGACGTTCTATTCTCCCTCTCTGAACCACAGAAGAGCCAAGGAAGTCTTGGCATGTTGTGGCTCCTGGATGCCACTGGCCCATCCACGTGCTAACCTCACTTACAAGACAATCCACTTCAAATCCGAGGCCTCTTGCAGCTGTACTTCTAAATGAGGTACCAGTGTTTGCTTGCTTTCTCTAAATGAGGTACCAGTGTTTGCTTGCTTTCTGGGCCGGAGGCTTAGGGAACTTCCTTCAAGCTCCCCCCACTGGCTTTCTGACCAGTGCTCTCGCCAGGGCTCTGCAAGCCAACCAATCCCTCTGAAACCAAAGAGACTACGAAGCCACCAATTGCACCGCTCACTGAGTGCCGCAAGAGACCTCTGTCACTAGTGGGAATAGGGACAGCCTCCCAGTCTCCCACCATTGAATCAGGAGTGAGCATGAGGAAGTTACGTACAGAAACTAAAACAGGTGACCTTCAGCTGTTCTTAAAAAAAAAACAGTGCCACGCTGAGCGGGCATGGCTCCCTAGAGAGTCTTCCCCCCCAGCTGCACCGTAATCCCCAAAACATGAAGGTCCTCTGAGGTCTCATGAGATACGAGGCCAAAGAATCAAAACCCGTGAGACTGGGCTGGGTGGGACAGTTTGCAACTGGTTCACTGCCCTACCCTTTCTCCTGCATAGGGTGAGCAGCCTGCTGAGACTAGTGTGTATAAGCAGCTGTCCTCCTAAAAGACAGCTGGTCTTCCTTTCCTTCGCGTGGCTTCTGGTCTTAATTTGTGCCCTGCCCTCACTCCCAGTGTTGCACTATTGGGGAATTCCCAGTAGCCAACTGGCTGGGTGTAACACACCACCATCCCTACACCTGGAGCCTTAAGAAGTCTATATTTGTGGACTCTCCAAGCAAAAATCACAGCAATTGCAGCACACCAAAAAATAAGGGTACAATCCAAACCGATCAGAACAAAGGTGGCCCGAAGGCTGATGCCAGGACTCTACTGACTTACATGTTTTAAAGAAGGTTGCCTGACCTCAGTTTAGTCCTGTAAAGGAGGTTATGGTAGATGCAGTGGCCACAGTGGAAGTGTTTTGTGTCTTCCTTTAGCCCGCCCAGCACGTGCCTAAATCTCGTGGTCCTCAAAGGTGACGAAGCATTCACAGAAGGGATGCCCCTCAGGATCTGTGGCCTCATCACTTCACATGAAGGAAAGGCAATGCCTACTTACCCTTTCCTACTCTCTGATCGTGTTGAAGAGAATGGAGGCAGCAAGAAGCGAACCACCATCTCCCAAGGGGACTGACTGAAGGCCCGCCTGGCTAACCACTGCGTGCTCATGGAGAACTCCCCGCTGCACCACCTGCTCAGCGTGGCCTCTCCCCGGCCGTGGGGTCTGCACGGGGTGGGAGGGTGGGGGGCGCCTCCAGCTGGTTGAGGGGCTAGAGCCAGCCTGCAAGCCGAGGGTCTTCACAGTCACTGGCTGGGGAGCACTGCTTCTGGGGCCGCAGAGCCTGGGAGCTGCAGCCCGCCAATGCTCAGAACGCTTGGCACCATCTCGGGGCTGCTCCCTAGGGCTTCCTCCCAACCAAGCTAGGCCAGAAAGCATTACTAGTTTTGGGAAGAGACCAGCGCTGTCCCGCTGAGTCAGCTACCCCAGAGAAAGCTCTCGTTTGTAAAGGGCTGGGGAGGGCTGGCTGCCGGCGGGATGGGCTCGCGAGCTCACCTACACTGGCTCCCGCAAGACCCACGTGGTATCATCTCAGCCCGCGGTATGGGGAGCTCGGGAGGCACGTCTGCCCACGGCTAAGCTAGCGGCAGGCACAGTGAGAGTCCCGGCGCACCTGCCCGAGTGCACTGATTGTCGTTCTGTTCTCTCCACATTTTAGCTTTGATCCCTTTGCGACCCACAGCCTGTCTTGTGGAATGAATGATAGGGAGCAAATTAAAAAGGCACACTGTGCACCAAGGGGACTCGTCAGGCCGTCGCTGTGATGGTTCAGGGCCACTCAGCTCCAGCCTGAGTCACCTGCAAGGAAAACCACTTCTTGCCATCAGGGATTCAGTGAGAGGGACAGGATTTCTTAAAAACCCAAACTGACAAATATCGAAATATCGTCTGGCTTGTACTTCTGGGCAGGGAAGAAGTCATATTTTTCACAGCAAAAAAAAGGGGGGGGGGACATTTTCAATATCAAACGGTGATTTTTTATTTTCAAAATGAGCGTTCAATAGGGTGGTCCAGAAATCACTTTTATTATACTCAAGGGTCATGATGCCTCTACCTCAGGAATCTCAGTTCTGGAGAGAGCAGTGGTTCAGGAGGCAGCTCATGAGACACACCCGTCGGAGCAGAGTTCCCAAAGGCCAAGGTGGCCTGACAGTCACCTCGTGCTACCAAGCACGGAGCAGCCAAAGCCTGTAAGCAGGGCGGGGGTAGGAAGCCACCAAGCAGCACCCTAGTGCTCTAGGCTCTGCGCCCCTGTGCTGTGTTCTGGGAGGAGGCCACCTTCCCACTACTTCCCCAGGATGACAAGGCCCTAGCTGGTCTCTCGACCACCTAGGGATCAGCGGAGGACTTCCATTGAAAATAATGGAAATTCACATTGGCGCACTTTTGATCCTTAAAAGGCAAGTCTCTTTTGATCCTTGAAGATATTCTCTCAAGCCAGGATGGGTAGGGTGGGGAGGAGAGATGTTTAAAAAGGAGGATGATCCATTTCATCGAGCCAAGAGGCTGGGCTAGTTGGAAAGTCGGGATAGCCTACACTGCTTCCTGTGGAGATGTCAGAGGTGGGTCCCCCAGCCATGGCTCTCAGCGTCTGGCTGACTCCCTGCCCTGCATGCGCAATGATGCCCAAATTACTGTCCACCGTGTAATCCAGCCCATTGAGCAAAGGAGCGTGGGATGGCAGGGACGATATGGAGGAGGGAGACTGGGGGATTCCATAGGGGCTCCCATCCCTCAAGTCCTGATAGGATTGTCCTGTCCCGTCCATGGAGAAGCTCCCATTCATTAACTGTCCGCCTGTAACGTCCCCCACGTTGCCATAAATCCTATTGGTGTGGCCAAGTTCTGAGAGAATTTGATCCTCTGTGGACAAAAGAACGGAGATTTATTGTCAGCCGCCAGGACTCCAGTGGTCCCTGTTCTTCACAACCTAGGAATACACATGACCAAGAAAGAAGCCCAAGGATGGCAGCTGCCTCGCTGCCTATGCATGAGTCAGACACGTCAACCTGGCATCCAGAGACTGACCCGCATCAAGGGAAAAACAGAAGAAACACCTGCAGAGACTGAATGCAGATCCCGGAAGGCTGGACAGATGTCTGGTAAGTTTGTTGGTCCCATGTGGCTCATGTACTAAAATGGCTCTGCTAAAGAATATGAATGCCTGAGGTTCGTGGCTCATACGTTACCAACCTCACAAATGGAAACTACGTGCTGACAAGATTTAATCTGAAAGCTTTCAGGCTGAGAAAAGTCCTTGGTTTCACTGGTTGGGAAAGAGGCCCGTGTGCTAAGGGTAGCTGAGGACCACTCTTAGGCATGTATACAAAATCCTTCTGGTCTACCTGGAAAAGCGGGTTCAATACTGAAAGACTTGGTTTCTCTTTCTATCGAATAAGCTCTTCACTGGGGACAAAGTATTGACTTGATTAAGGCAAATGGACCTTCTTGTTTCTTGAAGAATTTCATTAAGGGTTTCTAATGGAATCTGTGCTACCTAGAAGAACTCATCTCTCCAACAGAGGCAAGCAGTTTTAGTCTTAAAAAATAAAGTGTTATAGAATTACCCAGAGAGACCCATGACGGGTCAACCGGGGGGGTCCCACGTACACCCAACATAAAAGAGCTACAAAGCAAGACTTAACCATCCTGCATGTGTCCCAGACATGGATTTTGGCTGCTCAAATGAGATCAGATGGCTTTCCTAACCAGCAGGACTGGAAGGTGAGCACAGGCCCTTGAGCCCTTCCCGGGGCCCCACAGGACAGACTTCTAGAGTGAGCTACAGTCCTCTCGGGGCATCGTGTTCCTTCCTCTGCCCCACCAACTTCCTCTTCTGTTTCCACTCTGGGCCTATGCAGCAGTTCTTAGCAAGCCTCCCCAGACTGAACTTCAACACCCACTCCTGGCAACCTGCCCGCCCCCCCACTCCGCCCCGAAAATGGAAAAGAAAGGAGATCTCATGCTCCTTAAAGGGGACAGAAGGATAAAGGCTCAGCTCCATTATTTGGCCTTTTGCCTATACCTGTCACTCCATACGACCCTCTGTGGGGGCCGCAGGCTCCCTGTGGTGGCAGTCATGTCTTCCAAGTGTACAGCTGTGCTGAGCTTCACCCAAACACATCCATGGTCAGCCGTGTTCATTGAACCCCACGCCACCACTGAGATGGGCAAGGATGTGATTATTCCCCAGTTATAGATGCAAAAACTGAGGAAGCAAATCAATCTGAGAGAGCCACAACTGGCAACCAGATTTCGGACCCCCGCTCACTACTCTTCCTGTCCACCCACAACAGAGGACCTTCCACAGCTGAGGACTCAGTAAATGAGAACAGGTACGGCTGTTTGCAAACAACCTCGGATCCGGAGCATGCAGTGGTTTGCAAATTTTGCTGATGCACAGATCTGAACGGAGCGCATGCTGCGAAGCTTCTGTGCAGAGGACAGGATGACGTGGGCGGTGGGGGAGGGGATTTCAGAAGTGAGGCCTGTCCCCATCCCACATGCACTCACAGTATTGATTTCCCCCAGGGGCAAAGGGCCTCTTGAGCACGTCCTCCCTACCACCAGGAGAGGAGGAAGGGGTTGCTCCAGGGGGTCACGGGAGGGAGGCCAGCGCCCCTGCAAAGGAGGGAAATGCAGGAGAGGGTCTGAGGGCAGGGGCCGAGACACAGCTGTCTGCTCTGCATGGGCTGGTGAGAGAGCCCCAGTCAGCAGGAAAGGAGGGGAGGCCTTGGGGCCCACGGTCCTGGGGAACCCAGCTTCCACATTCCAGCAGCAGAGCTCTCTTGTCTTCTCCTCCTTGTCCCACCTGAAAGGGCCACTGCCTCCCCCCCACCCCCCACCCTTTACTGCAAGTCGCAGGGAAGAGCCTGTGTTCAGGAGGCAGGCGTCAGGCCTCAAGAAAGATCCCTCCTGCGTGTCAAGAATTACTGTTTCCCAGGGGCCTTTCCTAAGGCCTCGGCCTCGCCCCTCCAGCCCTGCTCACCTCGGAAGCTCAGCTCACTGTCACTAACCCCACAGTCCTCTGCAGAGCTCTCCTTCTCCTGCTTGCTGCCTCCGCGGCTCCTCTTGACACTCTTATAGAACTGCCCCCAGCGGTGCCGCCCCGCGTCCTTCTTCAGGCGCTTCTCCTTGGCCCTTCTGTTCTGAAACCAAACCTGCCACACAAGCAGAAGAGACACACTCGGGGGGTGTCCACCCCAAACCCCAGGCCCCCAGGCTCCCCAAGACAGGTAGTTGGAGACAGGCGCTGAAGCATTGGTGGAGCTCAGGGCCAGGAGTGCCCCGAGCCCACTATTCCCTCCCCCAGGGCCTCAGAACTCCCTCTCTGCTTCCAGGAGCTTCCCAGGGTCACGGGCCTGAGCCCAGCTCCCCAGAGTGCTCCCTGAACCTCCTCCTGGCAGAGCGCAGAGGGCGCAGATCCATACCCCAGCCCCCCCCCCACCGAGGGCAGAGGAGGCGGGTAGCTGGGGCCTCACCTGTACGACCCTCATGTCCAGGCCCGTCTCCGACGACAGCTGCTCCCTCACGTGCCGGGCGGGCTTGGGGGAGTTCTTGTAGGCGTTCTTTAGCGTCTCCAGCTGCTTGGCTGTGATGGTGGTCCTGGGCCGCTTAGCTCCGGCCTCGGAGTCATCTGCAGTGAAGAGCCCTCCTTACTGGCTTCTGCCCGCCCAGAGCAGCTGGCGCTCATCCCTCCCTCCTTTCCGCACGCGGTCTTGCCCACCGTGTGCTGAGCCACGGGGACGAGGGGAGGAATGGTGGAAGGCCTCGCCCCAGGCCTTCCTGGGTCACGGAGACGTGAGGACAACAGCCCTTCGCTGGCCTCCCATCTGCCACCTGCCAGCCTGGCTACGCGGGGGCTCCCACCAGGCTGCAGGTGTAAGTTCCACGGGCTTCCCTGTAGTGGCAAACACCCTGCCGGGCCAGCCGGGCCTCAGTAGCTGGGCTGTGAGGCTGAAGGAGCCAGGGCTGCCCCAGACACCCCTGCCCCGCCTCCCTTCCATGGCCTCTCATTTCCCAGACCCCTTTGCGGTGGCCTCCTTGGGCTCAGCAGGGGTGGCCTGCGCATTCACGTGTCCTCTAAGCCGTGTCCACCAACTACAGGTCAGAACCCACTAATGGGTTTGTGCTGTCAATTGAGTGGATTAAAAACCAGGGGGGAATGTGCTGCATGGGATGGGATGGGATACATGAGGGCAGGTGTGGTCTCACAGGAGTTGTTTGGGGTTCACAGTATGAATATATATGTGTGCTGAGGTGAAAATGAGTTTCTTTCTTACTCGGGGTCATAGTCAAACTTTTTGAAAACCACTGGTCTGAAGAGTGTTCAGGACAACCCACTGACCGAGCAACAGTCTCAAGTGGATTCTGAGCAGATAGGCCTGGTGTTCCTGGTAGTCAGAGCTGGTTTGTCCAGTCAGAGGCATAGAGGCGCCCGGTGCATGCAGGAGCACACAGGCGGGTGTGGACGCTTGGTCTCCTCTCCCAGCACTAGACTTCCGTCTGCTCTCTGTATGGCACCTCCACTCAGTCAAACCACCACGACGTCCCTGGCTCTCTGGGTATTCTGGGTTCCCTCCCCTGTGTCCTTTAACATGTCCCTGCTACATCTCTACCTTCCTTTCTTTTTTCTTTCCTTTCCATTCAAGAAAACCCTCTCTGAGGATCAATAATGGCCAACATTTGCTAAGCACCTACTATGTGCCTGGTGTGAGCTGAGAACTTTATGGGCAAACAATTCTCATGACAATTCTAAAAAGGGTTTCTTGCAGCCAGAAGACCTGGGTTTGACATTCTTGTTGAGTGAGGGAGTGACATGGGCCTGTGGCCTCCCCACTCTGAAGCCTGGGACAACACAGCCTGCCCTGAGCCAGGCGCCATGTTGTAAGAATCAGTTGTGCAGGCCGAGTCCACACCACTGTCATGCACATGGCAGAGGGGGCATGAAGTCCCCAGTCCCCAGTCCTCTCTTCTCAGGCTGTTTCCTTCTTCAGAGCCATTACTGTCCTCAAACCCCGGCCACCCAACCCCTCCCTGGAGCCCTGGATCCAAAGAGAAAGCTTCCACTGTGGCAGAGACTGTAGAAAACCTCCAAAATTCTCTAAATTCTGTTATAAGGAATCAATCCCTTCTGCCCATATTTGTAAAGAGAACAGCATGACAGCCTTTGATGCCAACAGGAAATAGTGCCCTTTTAAAACATCAATACAGTCTTGAGATCTAAAATTTGAAATAATGAAACCAGCAGAAAAAAAATTCATCAAGAATTGTCTAATTTTTAAATAGGCTGGCCTAATGATTTAGAAATGGTTTTCTTTGCCATGGCCACTGGGGTATAGCCATCACCCTGGGTCGGTGGCCCACTGGTTCAGAACTGCTATCTATGTGCACAGGACTTTCTTCTTGCGATTATGGGGACTATTATGCTGTTATTTTAACATTCACTGTTATTATAATTTAAAATCTTTTTTATATCCTATAACAATGTCATCCAAGTATTCATTAAGTAGTGGTGGCAGTGCTCGTGCTGAAAAATGTACCCAAAAATCAATAACTTTGGTACGGAAGTTAAATGTGATAAAACGCTATGAAGAAGGCCAAGCGAGACCACGATATCCTAGGCTGTTAATTTAGGAGAGAGCATTCTGCAAGGTATTAGAGATAGTGCTGAGAAAATAAAAAGTAGCATTAAGGCAAAGATACACTTCACCAATTATGGATTTATGTGCTTCCAGAATACATCCCCCCTCCTACTTTTTACATTAATTCCTATGGGAAAATTAGTCTTAAAATATGTTGGTTTTGAATTATGCAGGGTCTCCTAGCACTTGTCCCTGGCATAAAATGCAACCTCATTATATTGAAAATGCAAATATCCAGGGAGATATAACAAATGAACAAAATCATTCACACTAAGGTACAAATAGCTGATATTGGTCCTTTGTGTAACACAAGGGAGGGAACTGGAAGCCTGAAAGAAGGTTTAGATCAGCCGGAAGGAATTAAAACAAAAAGAACCAGGCATCCCAAAGAAGAGAAAGGTCAGGAATACTGTGTAACCTCCACTACTTGAAAACCTAAAGCAGATCTCAGCCCCGTTTGCATTCCTCTTCAACGTTGTCCTCACCCTCCCTCAGCATCCACCCCACAGGAGTTATCCTATTTGAACCTCGGGAAACAGCCTATGCGGCAGGTGCTGTTACCCCCGCCGCCTCCCCATACAGAGCTGAGAAGCCAAGGCTGAACCAGTTACACAGCTGGCCAGGGGACCCCCAGGTTAGTGACTGAGCAGAGGTGTCCACCAGCCTCTCGTGCCAAATCCGGTGTCCTACCGAGGTCTGGTACAGCACAGACAATCCTTGATAAGAGTGTTCACTCCACATCATTCTTGCCTCCCAGCTAGTCTCTCCCCCTCTTCTCGAACCATCCCCAGCAGAGCTGGATGCGAGGCCAGGTCTAAAAAGGCCTCCAATGAGGAGAAGCAGCCGCCAGCCTGGAGGGAGGTGGTGCATTCCTAGCATCCCTGGGGAAGGGCATCAGAGTTCCAAAGGCAGCTGGGGATCTCTGAGTCCATCTGCTTTGATGGTTTATCCCCGACAAGATGCCCTAATCTTCTATGACATCATAATTGACTCCAAAGCAGCAGCATCAAGGGAGTCTTAAGGAACCAGAGTAGATGAATACATTAAGGCAGAGAGCCTGGGAATGGGCTTGCCAAGGTCCCAGAAAGAGGTGAAAGGAGACCAAAGGCCTGTCCATCCTGAAAGGCCAGGGCTGTGGAGGTTCTGGGAGAAGAAAGTGGAAGCCTCTGACTCAGGCGCCCCTGCAGTTCTGTCCTGCTCACCTCCCACCAAAGCCAAGCTTGGCTTCAGCTGCCTCCCCAAAACAGCCCCTATACTTCTGCCTCCGCACTACCACAAAACCCTCAAACTGTGGTTATTCAGCAAAAATATACTTATTTCTCCATGTCTGTCTCAGATCTATAAAACACATGTGTGGGGGGCCCCAGGAAAGATCTAGAAGATGACACATGACATTGTTGTCACTTTTTTTTCCCATCAAGCCCAGAGCTGTTGAGAGCTGCTCTTTGCAGTAACACCCTGAGTGGATGAAAATTCTAGTCAAAGGCAAATGGCCTTGATGTTTTGTGAGTTTGGACATCTGAGATTCCCAGGGAGAGTTGGGCCAAATGCCACATCTGGAGCCAGGGTGAAGGACACAGCCCCTGGGCGCCCAGCTGGGAGTGAGGAGCCCGAGGTGGGGCTACAGGGGAGGGATCGCCGCCCTGTCCAGGCCCCGGAAAGGCCCCTGGCTGCTCCAGAACACGGCGCTGGAGGGCAGAGCAGTGGCCCTGCCCAGGCTGCCCCCATGGGGGCAGGTTTCCCAGGTACACTGTTAACCCTGCGGCCTGACAATGACGGGAACCCTGTGGAGGTCTCTGTGTAGAGCCTGGGCCCCAGGGGGGCTGAGGGAAGGGCAGGTGGGCAGGAAGCTTTGTGGTTGACTAGTATCAGGGCCTTGGGGAGACACAGGGAGTCCTCACCTCACGAGGAAGGGGAGACCCTGCCCTCGGCAAGCCCACAGCCTGAGACGGGAAACAGAACGCAGTTAACCGAAAGGGGAGTCGACTTAGGCCGGCGCTGGGCTCGCTAAAAAGCCTGTGAGGTGTGGGGGCCCCGAGGTACACATGCACCGCAGGACACGAGATCAGTGAGCAGCCCCGGTGCCCTCCCAGCCCCACCCCAGGCTAGGAGCCAACCACACAGGCCATGACCAATGCAGGGGCCGGGCCGCTCTCTCTACCTCTAACCCGATTAACGCTGCAGTGAAGCCCACCAGAGAGAAAGGCAGGGGGAGCGGTGCAGGACCTGGGGAGGGCCCTCAGGGCAGACGGGGTGTGAGCCGGGCTCTGAGGGACAGGCAGCGCGCACCCAGGAGGACCCGGCCCGGGGCGCCACCCGGACAGAGGCCTGGAGACGGCTGCGAGTGCGGTGCCTCGGCCTACCGTTCTGCTTGGCCGTCTCGTAGTCCTCCTTGCACACCAGCCGCCCGTCCTCCATGAGGTAGAACTCGTCGCCCGTGGCCAGCTGCCGGTTACAGATGATGCAGGCGAAGCAGTGCAGGTGGTAGACGAAGTCCTGCGCCTTGCGCACCACCTGGGTCGGGGGGATGCCCTGCTGGCAGGCCGTGCATTTTGTGCCAAAGCGCCTGTTGGGGCAGCAGGAAAGGATGAGAAAGCGCGGTGGGGAGGGGGGGTCTGGCCCCCACGTCCTAATCAGCCGATTCCCACATGGGGTGGCCATGGGCATCCGGGCCTGGGCCTGCCCCCCAACCCGGTGCTTACCATCCACTCCCGTCTCTGCCCGCCCTCAGTGTTTTGTGCCCCGGGCTCTTTAACCACCAGGGGAAGAGCTGGGTCACAGTGGTCTCCAGTGCCTCTTCTACGGCTGACACACCAGGGCTCCCACTGCCCGGTCAGTACCCCCGAGCCCCTCGAGCGGGGTGGTGTTCAGCTTTCCCATGAGGCCTAGAGGACCAGCCCCACCGGGCAACTGCGTGTGTTCATGGGCCAGTGTGCAAAGAGCCTCCAGCTGACAGTGCTCCCACAAGAGGAGCCAGGAGACCGCTAGTGCCAGCATCGACACTGCAGTTCTGGAGAAACTCTACTCTGGCAGCAAGAGCAAGGCTCTCCCAAGGCTCTCTGCCCCACACCGAAGCCCTCCAGGCCAGCCCCCAGCCCCTCCCCACGCACAGCCCCTGAGCTGAGCTGGTCTGCCATCAGCCCAGGAGTCCGCATTTCACACCCCTGCACCATTCGGGACAAGGAGTCTGCAGACCTCAGTGCAAACGACGGTGCTTCAGCCCTCTCCCGGGGCTATACTTTTCTGGACCAGCACTGAGGCAAGAGGAAGGCGCCACATGCCACCCTGGGCCAAGGGTCGGAAGTGGGGGAGAGGCAGACACAGTGAAAATAGAGTCCAGTGGGGTCGAGGAAGCCCCCTTCCCCATGCACCCGTAGGCACAGAGCCACACGGGTGGTCGCAGAGGGCCGAGGGGAATTTGGGGCCAGTGTAGACAAGGGTGATGAAGGGGGGGCTCCACTGTAGGTGAGGCTTGCCTGCTTCAGGAGGAAGGCGGGAGGGGTTGGAGAGGCAGGGGCAGAGTTTAAAACAGCAATCAACCTAATTATTCATGACATTTCACACAGCAGAACTTTATCTTCTTCAGGATGAAAGACTTCGCCTAATGGATCTGGGGAAGGTTTGATTTTAATGGTCCTTTTAACTAATGCTTATAGGCAGCCTGATTTCCCCTGAAAGGACAGTACATATTTCATCCACATTAATACCAAATAAATTAATTATGGTCATGGCTATCATGATGAATCCCAGATTAATGCAGAATGATGGGTCTCTTATGCAGTAATGATACCTGCTGGGGGGCTCCAGAGGCCTGGAGCAGGCGCGGCCAGCTGCCACTTCAGGAGCTCCCCGCCCAGCAACAAGGTGTCACGCAGGGCGTTGAGGGGGCTCTCTAAGTCTAGAAGTGTGGCCCAGGGGACAGCTCTTCTGAGACAAGCTCTGAGAAGGGTGTTGGGCTGTGAGGGGCTGGGGCAACTGGCTCAGAGGGACCCCAGACTCCTGAGCCCCTGGAAAGCCTCTCAGTTTGGCGAGGAGGGTGAGGGGCGCAGGAGCAGGTCTCCACTGCAGGTGTTCTCCAGCCCCCCCCCCCCCTCACGATGGACTCTGCAAACTGCCCCCGAGTCCTTCAAAATTGTACAGCGGGGAGGGGGGGTTCATTAGATTTTCAAGGTGTACAGGACCCAGAAACAGAGAATTAACACTGGTTGAATGAATACATCATCAGCTAACCATGCTTTACAGAGGCGGCCCAGGGACGTGCCGAAATCTGAGGATGGAGAACAAAGTACACTGTCAGCTCTAGAAAGTTCTACACCTCCCAGAATGCAGGTGAAACCCGGCTTCTTCAACAGCTGCTGTTTAACCACGTCAACCCGTGTTAAAGAGGAAGGCAGGCAGGCACCCAGTTCTATCTTGTGTGAGTGGGTGTGTGTATGTGTGTGCTTGGGGGACAAAGAGAAAGGAAGCCTGTCTGTCTATGTGTTACTAGAATGTGTGTCCGAAATGCCCGCAGTTTGCATGTCCTCTCCAGGCCAATTCAGAAAGCCGGTGCTAGAAATGAGGGGATCCCTGGGGGGCTCAGTGGTTTGGCGTCCACCTTGGGTCCGGGGTGTGGTCGTGGAGTCCCAGGATCGGGTCCCTCATCCGGCTTCTGCAAAGAGCCCGCTTCTCCCTCTGCCTGTGTCTCTGCGTCTCTCTCTGTCTCTCATGAATAAATAAAATTTTTTAAAAAAGAAAGAAGTGAAACCAGGCCTTCAGCATGCTCCCTGCAAACCCTCCCAACATGAAACACCAGAAGTCCAGCGTCCAAATCCTTTGCTGCAGATGCTAGAGCTAAAACAGCTCCAGAGAAGAATGAGAGTTTTCCAAAAAGCAAGTGTGGTCTTGTCGAGGGGAGGGGGGCTCAGGGGAGGCTCCAGAACAGTGAGGAAGGAGCCCTTGGAGAGGACCCACCTCTCTCCACTGGGAAGCAGACCGTGGCTTTCAGGAACCAGAAGCCCAGTTGACACCAGAGCCCCAGAGGCATGAAAGATAACCGGGGTATAAACTTAATCTACATACCGACGTTGATTCATGAGTAAGGGGGGCAAGTGCACAAGAAAAATGAAAAATAAATGGACTTTCCCACCAGCATTTTTTAGCAATTGAAGCAATTTTCCTGATTGTGGGATTTATACTGATAATAAGTGGAAGTTGCTCCTATTACCTTTCTCCCCTGGAGCACGGCCAGTGGGACCCTCCATGAGGAGACTGCGCCCGTCCCCTTGGCCCACAGGGCTCCCCCAGCCCGGCCCCCCCGGGGGGGCACCCCTGGGACCTGTGGTCAGGGCCAGTGGAGGGGGGGCGCTGCCCTGTGGGGGTGGCTCCGCAATGAAGACATGTGCCAGGGCTTCCAGGCCTTAGACCAGCCAGGGTCACCCGTGAGGCGCGGCGCCTGGAGGGGGGGGGACCGCTTTGGGGACGGGCAGTCCAAGGCAGCCGAAGTCCAAGTGCCCAGGTCCTGGGCTGCTGGCTGCCGCACAGAGGGGCAGCGTCGGAGCACCCTGAGCAAACCTGAAGGGTGCTGGGGTGGGGCGGAGCTGGCCGCCCGCCTCTGAGGGATTCTCGGGGCACTACCCCGTCATCCTATCCCGGGCACCCCCGGGGTGCAGGGCGCGCTCTCTCTGGCCAGGCCTCCCGGGGGAAGGCAGCTGGAGCTGACCCAAACCACACCGTGCGAGGAAGGACCTGCTAGTGGCCGCAGTACTTGCCTCCTCAGGCGGCATCACCGGAAATCCTCTTCTCTCTGCCCTGCGTGTAGTGGGCAAGGAAGGCTGGGCCGCCGAGGGAGGGAGGGAGACACCGCGTGAGGGAGACACCGCGTGGGGGGGTGACCGCGTGATGGAGAAGACCGCAGGAGAGGAGACCGCGTGATGGGGGGGTGTGACCACGTGACGGGGGTGTGACCGCGTGACGGGGGGGACCGCGTGAGGGGAGACCGCGTGATGGGGGTGTGTGACCACGTGACGGGGGTGTGACCGCGTGACGGGGGTAGACCGCGTGAGGGGAGACCGCGTGATGGGGGGTGTGTGACCACGTGACGGGGGTGTGACCGCGTGACGGGGGGGACCGCGTGAGGGGAGACCGCGTGATGGGGGTGTGTGACCACGTGACGGGGGGGTGTGACCGCGTGACGGGGGGAGACCGCGTGAGAGGAGACCGCGTGATGGGGGGGTGTGACCACGTGACGGGGGTGTGACCGCGTGACGGGGGGGACCGCGTGAGGGGAGACCGCGTGATGGGGGTGTGTGACCACGTGACGGGGGGGTGTGACCGCGTGACGGGGGGGAGACCGCGTGAGGGGAGACCCCGTGATGGGGGTGTGTGACCACGTGACGGGGGTGTGACCGCGTGACGGGGGGAGACCGCGTGAGGGGAGACCGCTTGATGGGGGGGTGTGACCACGTGACCGGGGGTGTGACCACGTGACCGGGGGTGACCACGTAACGGAGATCGTCTGCATGACGGGGCGAGGAAGAGACCGCGTAAGGCCGAGAGACCGTGTGGGGCGGGGGAGACCGCGTGAGGGGGGGACCGTCTGCGTGACGGGGGGGTGACCGCGTGAGGGGGGGAGACGGCGTGACGGGGAGGCCGCGTGCAGTGCTCCTTAATCCTGCCGATACAGGCAGGGCAGGACGCGCCCGGAGCAGTACTGCTGCTCCCATCTGAAGCTTTTCCGAGAGAGGAGTGGAAGCCGGGGTGCAGCGAGGCCCCGGCTGAGGAAAACTTGAAGCCCCGCGCCAGCCTCACGCCCGGTCCCCGGTCCCCGGTCCCCGGTCCCCGGGGTGCGCCCTCCTAACGCCTGAGAAGCTGAGGCTCAGGTGGGTGCGGCCCGGGCCGCAGCTCACAAAGGCGACGAGGGAGAAAAGCGGGGCCCGACCTCGGGCTTCTGATAACCCGGCGGGCTCACGGCGGGGCCCCAGCAGCCATCCCCCGGGAAGGGGACTCGGGCAGAGGGGCCCTGTCCCCCTGCACCCCGCCAGCGGCTCCGAGCCGGAGCATGAGGCTCCCCCCCTGCAATGCGGGGGCTGCCCCTGGAGCCTCCACCCCAGGCGCCCCCCCCCCCCCGCACCTTCCCCGCTTGTGCACCGCCGGCCGCTGGCTGGGGAAATGCCCAGACATCACCGCCCACAGCCGGGGGCCGCCCCTGAGCCCCGGGAGGGGGCCAGGCCTGGGTCCTTGGTCGCACCCTGGGCTCCAGTGCCCAGAGCCCGAGTCCCCGCCTGCACCCCTGCTGCTCTTGACAGGCCTGGCAGGACCCCTCTGCAGGGCAGGGCAGACTCCAGGGTGGCTGGATCCTGCAGGAAGAGGGCAACAGGCAGGCCCTGCAGACACCACACCTTCTAGAAACAAGTGCACGAAAATCCTGTCCCACGGATGCGCTGGCAGGTCCTGATTTTAAGTTCTATTCTGTGACCCCAGGTTCCATATTCTGGGCCCTGAGACACTACTAAGGAGGGCAGTGCCCGTTCACGGAGCACCTACTGTGTGTGTCCCCTGCCCCCATGGGCACATACTGGTGCTCCA